TACCTCAATTTATGAACTAATCTTAACATTTCTATTGCCTTGTCGTTGCTTAAATTTAGGCCACGTTAGTTATTGCTTCCCAATGAACAAGAGGTAAAAAGTTCTTCTCTTTGTGATAAGAGTTGCCTTTCAGTAGCTGATTTGCTTAACTCTAAATACTCATCATGCTCCAAATGAGTACTGTAGTTCTGAGCCTGGTCTAGGGTGAGATTTTTTTCCTCTTACTACTAGTGTTACATTTCAGAAACCTCTCACGTACTAATTTTGAAGGGTAAGATAACTTTCACAATGAAAAAACAATATAGCATGTTATATTCCACATGTAAAGCTCACTCAAGGAATGTAATTGGTAAAACTTTCACTTTGGAAGAACACACTGTTACAAACTTTCTGTCTAAGGCAATATCTACAATCCATATTAAGAGAAGCACAAAACTAAGGTAATAGAGGCAGGTTCCATTTTCCACGACTCCATCGTGGACTAAGCTGTCTATTAAAGAAAGTGTAAGGGAAGGTTTCATTAAAGTGACTTTGAAGGAAATATTTTTTGTCATGTGTAATTTAATTTACATGTGGTTTGCTTCATCATTTTGTTGGGGTTTTTTTTGTTTTTTTTTTTAAATGGAACTGAAATTTTAAACCAGTTAATCAAAAACAGAGCAATAGCAAAAACCTGGTTATTAATAGAACCTAAGTAATACTCACATTTCTGTAGCTGTAATTATCATCATTCTATTCTATGGCCTGTTGGTTTGCCTGTTACTTCTGTTCTTATTTTATTAATAAACACGAAGTAAAATTTCAGGGCCAGAACTTAGTCCAACTAAATGTCAGTACTTAGGCCAGTATGACATGGGGGGGGGGGGGAAATCACTCTTGCAGGGTAGTGAGCCTTACTGCACTTAGAAATTATTGAATATCCATTGAACGGGTCTTCACTTCAAAGTACTTTGAAACAAACTCCGGAGTACCTGCTACCGGAAGAGACTTTAAGATCTTCATAGTTTAGAACTGATTTACTTGTTATCTGGGACTGGTGCCTCTTAAAGCGTACAACAGACCCATGACTCTCAGCCCGATAATTGCAGCTGGTAAAAAGTAGGTGGCAAAGATGCTTTGTCTCTGTAAAACGCTTTTCTTTCATGATCCACTCAGTACACCAGTATAAGCCTGTTAAGTGTGAGGTGCTTTCTTCTCTTTTCTTTTTTTCTTTTCTTTTTTTTCTCAATTCCAAAAGGCATGTATGTCCTGTGGTATAATGGAAAACTGCCAGATGCCACCATTAAAATGAAAATCCTCACAAGCTGTGATATTTATGGAGACAAAAACTCTGCCGACTGTGTGGCCACAGGGGATGCAGTCAGATATTCCCCTGCTGGTAGAATGTTGCTTTGTTTCCAAAGACCAAAGAACCCTTTTAGCTAGACAGGTTCTGTTAAGGTGTCAGGTTGCTGATAGCCTTCACAGGGTAACTATTTTGCCTAATACTTAGGCTGTTAATCCACTGTTTCAAAATCCTGGCTTGGAACCTTGCAGGTGATGCCTGTACTGCTGAGCATAGATTGAGCGTGTGGTCTCACTGACAGTCATCTATATGAAAGCCTAGACCAAGCATAGGCAAAAAAAGATAGGAAAGAGCAAATCCTGGCCTTGCATTTTAGCATTAAGTACACATTGTTTACAGTGGTTTAGATGGGCTGGGAGAGGGAGGAGGGAGAGTGCCTGAGTGTCTGTTCTCAGGAGTTCATTCATTGATGGCTACACACCTGACCTGGAGGTGACACAATCACTCATGAACTCAGTGCCCATTGTATGGCAAGTGGGCACTCTGAATATGCCTGTATAGTGTCAGGTAGTACCTGTACATGCCTGAGCTAGCAGAAACATCAGCTGCTCTGGGAAGGGTGAAATACCGCAGAAAAGTCACAGTCTGGGCCAGCATGCACTTCAATACCTTCTATTTGCCAGAGTCTTCTCCTTCTCCCCATGAGCTTTGGCTTGTCAAAGTATGTCCCAAGTGATCTAAAAATTGCTCTCCTAACCTTATAAAGTACAAAGAACTCAGCATTTTCCTAGGCTTTTCTGACCACATTCAGAAAGAAGACCATTTGCTTCAAGAGTGTTGCTAAAGTGGAGCACTGTGGTAAGCACTGGTTTTGCAATAAAGGATTGGAAAACAGAGTGAAGGGCGATGTGGCACAAAATGATGAGTGTCCCTTGCCCTGTAGGACAGCCACTTTGCTTACAGGCAGCACTGCACAAATGTAAAGGCCCTATTGAGTAGCTGAGTGCTTATTAGTCCTGAATTTAACCCTCAATGTCTTTTATTGGCTGCACTTCTGAGAATTACTTCTCTCTTCCTCCACTGGTTCATTCCATGCTTTCTATAAATTTCAAAACCTGCATTTTTATACTCTATGCTCTATGTTACCTGGCCCGCTACTTTTTTTCCTGGTGCTTTAGCTGACATGTATTATACTTTAACTGATTTGTATTAATACTGGGACCTTCAGGGCAGGAACACAGTTCAGTTGTCAGGTCAAGTCAACCACCTAGTTTGGAGGATAACCTTCTCCCAGGTGGTAAGGAAGATGTTCTTCTGTGCGAGGAACCAGCCCGTAATTCAGAGAAGTTAGATATAACGCCTGACTCTCTAACAGTCCCCTCATGTTCTCCTTGACAAATGCCGCAGCTTCAAAATGGCAATGTTATTTATCTGCATCAAAAGTAGGAGAGGAGGGAAGAGGGACCAGGGAAGGAAGCAGAAGAAGTACATTTCTCTAGCATCTGAGCAACACTCAGCTCAAGTTCGGAAATAGCCAGATTCCTATCAAAGAGAAAAATGGCTTAGGACTGAGATGCTTAATAGAAATAGATAGACGACATCGAGAATTGTAAAATCTCTGTTTGGTACGATATATGAGGAGCTGTGTAATTTACCTCCTTTCTCTAAAACAGGATTTATGAAAGTTTGTGGAGAGACAAAAGGAATTATTTTGGTAACAACGATTTTCCAGTGCTATAGGGTATGTCTGACCTCTACTGATTTTATGGCAACTGACATGGGGACTTTGAATGATTACTTTGCCCCACATAGGCATAACATAATTTACTCTGCCTGAAGTCAGCGATCTGAAGACACCGTGTACAAAGTAAAATAAAAAATTTGTCTGAGAATGTCTTCCAGATGTTGATATGGGTGGGGAACTGCATTAAAGCACTTGTCCATCAGATATTAAAGATCAGCTAAATCCAGGATGACAAACTAAGCAGAGAGGGAGAGATAAATGTCACTCTGTGTTAAAAACAGACATATCTATCAAATATGATCTTTGTAAATACTAAAGAAAAATCAAAGTAATAGCTAGGGAAAACCAAAACCAAACCAAACCACTTTCTTTCATACCACAGCATAGATGTTGGCTGTTTTTTGTTTTTCCTGGAACTGGTGTATTAAAGTGTAGCTATAAGAGACTAATAATTTTAATGGTGAATACATACAGACAGCTCTTACTTCACCCTAAACTCACCCAAAGGGATCACCTAGAAAGTATATCAATACACGTGTCATCACCAAACAATAGTTTCGCTATAATCAGTGGCAGGAATTCTCCCTCTAATCTCTGCATTAATTTAGGAAAAGCAAATTATATTATGTAGTTGGTATGAGATTTCCTTTTGTGGTTCGGGCTGGGCTGGCCACTAAAATGAACGACAGATGCTCTGTTTTGCTCTTTCCCCTTCAGAGAAGAGAGAGCATCCGCAGCAACCTCTGTTTGAATCCAAGTCACAGCACCACCACTTTGATCCCTCAGCTTTTACACCAATCATGATGTGGATGGGATGACATGCCCTGTTAGTCAGTTTTGGGTCACCTCTGTGCTGTCTGCTCCTCCCCACGGGTGCTACTCCTTTACACTTTTCCACTTCTGACCCTCCAACAGGGCACACAACAAAGTTAGCTGACCTTGGTTGTTTTAGCAGTAAGTATAAGCAGGAGCCTCTCTGCATACCGTTCTTTGGTATTAACTATAAACATCAGACCTTATCTGCTAGAAGAGGACTGAAATATATGCCGTTAGTTTCAGAGAGTTAGTTTGAAGAGGCAAAGCTGAACACTAGCATTACTGAAAAGAAAATTGGTTCTGTTTCACCTCAAACTAGGACAGCTTTCCCCATTCATTCTGAAGTATATGCAAAGTGCAGTAAATGCAAATGCCAAATTGTCTCTGAATTCTGTCACACAAACTTGCCTTGAGCAAACTGAACAGCAGTTCTGCTATAGCCATTTTGATCTAAGGACACAAACAAGGCAGACGGGGCATAACCATGAAAGGTAAAAAAAATACTGGTTTGAAATACACAAGTTCATTATACAAGGTAAAACAAAAAAGGAAAATAGCTCAAAATGGTTGGTTATATGGAGTTGTCTCCTGCTCATATCTAAATTTTATACCTATCTATACTAGTACTCCCCACAAGACACTTCAATCCTGTCAGGTTTCTTTTGGAGATAAGATGTCCACTGGTTTGGGGAAGAGAACCTCTAGAGTTGCCCTATACACAGGCAAATCCTTCTCAGCATTAAGGAACGTAACTTTCACGATCACATTTTGAAGGGAGTAGATTCACATTCTTCACTTGCTGTGTCCTGCTTTTTGCTTTTAATATGCTGGGGTTTTGATTACTCCTCAGAGCATGAGGTTTTCATATGCATGGATTGGATGACAAAAGCAGTAAGTATGTTCCTAACTCTGCCAAAGACCTGCTGATTACTTTAGAGCTAGCCCTTCCGTATCTCTACACAAACTCTGTTCAAGCAAACCAGAGTTTAGTACCCTAAATTGCCACAGTATCTCCTGTGAGGATTAGCAAACTTCAGCCCAAAAACCTTAATCTCCACTTTCCCAGCCATTTGTGCACACTAACCAAAGTATAACATAATGTTTTTTATGCACCCATAGGTGCTTTTCGTCACTTGTGCAGAAAGTGGTACTTACTTCCAATATCTGGCCGTAGCTTTTTGTCATACTCTCTCAACAGCTTGTTTAGTATGAGAGTCACGTCTGTGTCTTGTGTTTTTGGAGCTAAAACCCATTTTTGGTTAGTTGTTCCATCTTCATATTCATCATCTTCAATCTTTCTAGAACTGCAATAACAAATCAAACAAAGAGACATTATTTTACATAACTAAAATCTGAATTAACATTCTGGGTAAATCTCCACACTCATCTGAAGAAGTTTTAGGTATCTCCCTTGGCTTTGCCTATCTACCCAGCCTTAGGCTGTTTTTTCAACAGGATATTCCTATTAACAGTTGTTGAGTGTCTGTGGATGGGTCATCATTGAGAGTTGTTTGGAAATTGACTTCTGCTAGTCTCTCAAAAAATTTTATTTTGGGAGACAATACAGCCATCAGAGTAGTGTTTTATACCCTGTGCTTTAACCAATCTATCCCAACTAGTTAGTTTACAATACACTCTTACCAAGAATGAACATCTGCAGTATTATTTTATTAATACACCAAGAAAACTGATTCATCTCTTGCACAAAGGCTAATAAGAGTATTAAAAATTCAGATCTTTTAATACTTCCTGATCATTTTATCCTATTAATAAATTATTATATTCTCAGTGCCTGAATTTTAGAGTTTAATGTATTACAAGGCTTAGAATTAAGAGCTTGCTCCTTGAATTTAAGATGGATTATCACAAGGACACAAATACATTGCATAAGTTAATCTGAATTTCCCTGCAGTTTTAATGACATTTTTTAAAAAACAGTACTACACCAAGAGTTGCAAATTCTTTCTTTCACAGGTGGATCATTTTTATTTTAAGAGTATGCTAATACAAATGTGGTGAAACTGCAGTTTGCCCAGAAATCACAGCTACTGCTATTTCCACACAAGACTAATTTCATTTGTGCAGCTTTTTGTGCATGAACAGTAAAATGTTGATTTGAAGATGTATCTTTTGGTATCTTAGAAACCAAATCTGTTTGATGTCTCTTGCTGGAGAATATCTATGACAGTTAAACTGAGATGAAGTTATCAGGAGAAAAAGATAACCTACAGCAGTAATCATGTGTTGCTTCAACCTGCAATTGCCCTGGTGATACAGTATCATTTTGCAATCTTTTTACACAAATGCCAATAATTATGCAAGGTGCAAAGCAATGGTCAATCAGAGGCACCAGCCTTGCTTGTTCATGGGATGTGCTACACGTGTCAGAGCAACCTTCTTTCTCTCTCTCCCTCTCCTTCCCTCCATATGAAACGAGTGTCTTTTAAAATATCTCAGATGTCCAGAAGACTTGATAGACACTCTACAGTAGCAGGGGAAAAAAAAAAAAAAGAATACAATTATAAAAACTTAATCACAGAGCATCATCAACCCTCAGCACTGCTTGTAGACCACCATTTGAGCATTTAATGAAACTTTTAATTGAAACTGCTCTACAGCCAATATGCCTCTAAGGATTAGCCATGAATCACTTATACATAACCTCACAAATTGCAAGTGCTCTAGGTACAATTTCTATAGAAAAATAATTTCGAAACCTAGCCCCTGAGGATTTTCAATAGAGAAAGCTCATATAACCAAGTTGCAAAAGTAGAGAAAACTTGGAAAAAATTTTGAATAGATGACCATTCCTTGTCTGTTAATAACTTATATTTTTTTGCGACTGGATCTTTTTTCTGTAATTCACCCAATGAGCATTTAAAAGCCCTAAGAGGAATTTTATGGGGGTTCTTGTCTCCCTCAGATTCATGACAAGCCCTATATGAGAATAGTTCTGTAACTGTGGTATTAAAAAAGGAGGCACCATCTCCAAACACACACGGTTGATATGTCAGAACTGAGACCCTGAAGTGGTGCTGATATTGCCGATAGGAAAGCAGCACAAACGGCAACGTCTTTTTCTGCTGCACCAACCACAACTTCACTGGCAGCATCCAGGCTGCACATGGAAATGAGAACTGAGTACAGGTAGGATCAAGACTGACATTTCAGGCAGCTGCTTCTTTAAAACCGGTCACTAGTAGGAATCTATGCTCTGACAGACCTTTTAAACCCCCTCACTCTAGCAGCTTGTTTCCTACAAAGCACCTCCAGACAATGTAAATTCCTACCTACCTTCTAGATTAAGACTGGGGGTGTGAGAAGTTTCACAGTGAATCAGACTAATACTCTAGATGCATATTTTTCAAGGTGTTTTGTTTTCCTCCTTAAGAGTTTATTATTTCACTTCCCTTGCTTGCCTCTACACAATTAGGCAGGCTCCTTGAAGGCATCTGAGGTTGCGTCTTCACCTGTAGCCTTACGGGTGACTGCCAAATCCTCAGCATATTCCTGCTCTCCACAAAATTAAGTGTGAGATGATGGCAGGCCATTCTCAAACTGGGGAGGAAGAAGGGGTGCACACCTTCCAAACTCACCAGGGGCCACTAGTTTTGATCCCGTGTGGAGATGGAAAGGAGGCAGTGCATAAACTGCAAAGGAGGAAGGCTGGAAAACCCTGAGAGGTTGTGGGGAAAGGGTTTGCTTTCCTACAACATGCATGTTCAGGACTTGCTCTGGGGGTTGGCATGAAGCACCCTCTTGTTCCTGCAGGGATTTGGGAGAGAGATGCCCCTGTGGTGCAGGCTGCTGAGAAGGAGAACATGGGGAAGGGAAGGGAAGGGAAGGGAAGGGAAGGGAAGATCGCTTGTTCCATTGGTTATAGGGAAGGGAAGGGAAGGGAAGGGAAGGGAAGGGAAGGGAAGGGAAGGGAAGGTTTGTGGTGGATCCTGAGGTGACACCTTTGTCTGGGTTACATGTAAGAGGACCTTCCTAGCACCGTGGACAACGAAGGCAAGCCTGGTCCGGGAGCTCCCGGCTGCAGCTGCCGACTGTCCCCCTCTGGCTCCTCGCTGCCCGCCGTTACCGGAGCCCCGCCGGGGAGACCCTTCCCGCCCCCGAGGCAGGTGCCGGTGTTTCCCCGGCCCAGCCCCTCCCGCGAAGAGTAAGGCGCGCACCGGGGCGAGGCGGTTACCGGTAGCCCCCCCAGCCACCGGGGCACCCCCGGCACTCCTGGCTGGTCCCGGCCGCCGGGTTGACCCTTCCCGCCGCCGCCCTCTCCCTCCTGACGCTGACCCCGTCCGCGGGGCCCCCGGGGCGGGTCGCGGAGGGAAGCCGGGGCTACCGGTCGCCCCGCGCCCTGAAGGGAGCCCGGGCAACACCAGCCGCCGTCCCGCCGGGCCCCGGCAGTCACCGGAGCCGGAAAACTTTCTGCCGGGCCGGCTCTCGGGACGGAGTCCTCGCTGGCGACCTCCGACTTCAGGCGGGGGCCGGGAGGGACAGCGGCGGGGCTGCGGCTGGCCGGGGAACCGGGGAGGGAACGGGGGAAGCCGCCTTCGGGAACGAAGCCCCGGCAGGGCACGGCGCGGGGGCGGGAGCGGGGGAAGAGCCCGCTGTCCTTCCTCGGAACCCCGAGTATTTTGCAAACTCCGGCGAGCGGGACATCAAGCCCGCAAGCCCCGGTGCGAGGAGAGAGGGGAAGGGGGAGGGAGACGAGGGGAGCGCGGACTTACCGGGCGTGAAACACCGAGAGGAGGAAGAGGAGCGGCAGGAGCTTAGCGGACATGGTCCGGGCAGCGCTGGCCAGGTGAGAGGCGCGGCGGCAGGACGGAGGAACAACGTCGGAGGATGTTCACATGAAAGGGAGAACGAGGCAGTGAGGTGAAGCGCGTCGCCTCTCCTCCTCCGTATTCCCAGCTTTATACCCTGAAGAAAATACCCCCTTTCACACCGCTCCGGGAAGGGAGAGGGGGAGGCGAAAAGGGAAAAAAAAGGGGCGGGGGGGGAAGGAAAAAGTGGGATGAAGGGGGAAATCCCCAGCGGGGAGGCTGCCAAGGCCAGGTGTAAATGAGGCTCCGCGGTCTGACAGGTGTGCGGCGGGCACCGAGCTGCGGCGCGTCCCCTTTCCTGGCAATCAGTTGCCGGGAGCAGCGGCGCGGCCCCTCCCGCTCCCCCCGGGCTGGCGCAGGCCGTGCCCCCCCCCCCCCCCCCCCTCACCTTCCTGAGGAGCCGCGCGCAGGGAGCCGGTAGCCCGCCCACGGTTGGTCTCGCGCCGCGGACGTTGGCGTGAGGGGAGTTGGGGGGGGGGGGGGGGAGCCGGGAAGTGAAGCCTCACCCCGCCCCCCCGGGGGGGACACACGTACACGGAGAGGGGGAGCAAAACCGGCCAGCCGCAGGGGGGTTCTCCCCGCCATCACCAGCCCGGTGTGTCGTCGTGTGTCCCCGTCCCCTCCCCCACCTCGCCTCCGAGGGGGCGGCTCCGAGGGGGCTGCGGCGCCCGGTGGCAGCTTCCCCCCCGCTGTTTTGGGAGGTGCCCGCAGCCCCAAACCCCACACTCACTTGCCCCCACGGCGCTGGAGGTGCTCTCCTCAGACGGAGGTCTCGGGGTGGTCGGAACCACGGGCATCCCGATGTACGTATAGACGCGGGTCCATGAAATCGGTGCAGCTGGAGAGTGGGACCTACAGTCCAGTCCAGCCTTCCACAGACAGACAGACAAACATACACAGCGCACCGTGTTTGTGTACGCCTCTTATCTAGCTGTGTGCATGGAGAAGTTTGCGTGCGCTGTGCGAGTGCATGGCTACACGTAGATGCGCATAAGGTATGGCTGTAGAATGTATACGGATAAGAGAGGGAGAGAGATGTGGTGGACCGAGCTACAGGGATTTATATGCATATTGGGAATTTTAGAATGAATGAGGATTTTCTGCTGTGAGAGCTCAGAAATGTCACCACAGCCAAGTGTATTCAGGGCAAAAATATTTTGGGTCTGAACATCATGTCTTTCTGCTCCACCAAGAACAGCACAGATGTGAGTTTTAGCGACTTCAGTTCTCTCCAGGTGTGTGGATCTTTGCACCAGGCGTCACAGTAATAAGAATATTCCCCTTTGCTTTCAGAATCGGAAATGACAAAATTTCGGTTACGTGACGGCAATCTGGAAACAAAAAGCTCTTCTAGGGGTACAATAAGTGATCCTTTTACTGTGATCAGAAACCTTGGAAGCATATATCTTTGCTCCCTCCTCCCTTAGACATACTTTCCAAATTCTGGGGGAGTCATTTTTAATTATGACATTACATTTAAGGGAAAAAAAAAAAAAAAAAGGTTCTGCTGGAAGAAAAAGTCTTGCTTTTAGAATTACTCCTACATGATGCCTAGAAGAGCTGGCTAGAGAGAGTTCTGTTCCCGAAGTTATTTATTGAAGGAACGAGACAGCTTAGGGAAAATCCGCCGTGAGCCAGGCAATTGATTCCCAGTCATGCACTTTAGGTTTTTTTCAACCTGAACCTCTCTTTACTAGATTATACAGCAGTTCTTTCGTGTTGACTTTGGCTAATTGCAGTTACTGTGAATTGCTAATAATCACTTGTTACAAGACTTGTGCTCTTTTCCGTCGCCAGCAGAGAGATTGCAGGTGGACTCCAGACCTCCTGCTGCCTTGAGACAATAAGGGCCGGAATATCGAAGGGAAGGGAGGAGAAGGGGAGAGAAGGGACGGCGGGAGCTCAGGGCTTGCCTGGATTTCACCAGGAAATTTCTCCAGCCGCCGGCCGGTTAAGCAGCTCGCCGATCCGCCGATGGGAAGTTTGCAGAAACACCGGCGCTGCGGGGCGTGCGGGAGGCGGGACGGGGCGAGCGGGGGGAGCTCTCTCGCCTCTCAGCTCAGGGAGAATCCCCCCGCCGGTACCGGTGCCCGGGAGCCCCGGTGGCACCGAGCTCCGCGCTGCCGCCGGCACCGCTGCACGGCAGCTCGCCGCGGCCAAGAGCCTTTTCAGGTACCCGAAGGTTTTCTGAAAGCTGGTGCTTATGGAAAAAAAAAACCAAAACAAACCATCACTTCAGGCTCCGGGGTTGCGGTACCCAGGTCCCGGCTCGCAGCACCGGTGCGGTTGGAAAGCGAGAGCGGGGAAGCGCCCCGCGTACGGAGGGGGGGCTCGCCATCGCCGGCTCCCCCCGTATAGAAAAAATATGTGTGTGTTTACCCACGGGCGCACTCAGGTCGAATAAATAAAAGCCCAACCCGTCCCCGGCAGAGCAAACCGCTGGGGAGATGCTGCAGCGGCGGGGCCGCCCCGGGTGCTCTGCCGGCGGGGCCGCGGCGGGGGTCGCCTTCCCCTCTGCCACCACCCGGGTGGGCGGTGTAAATAGGCCAGATAGTACCGTGGAAAAAAAAACAACCCCGGGGGAGAGGGGCACACCGGCGGCGATTAGCGAAGAGGGATGGCGAGCCCCGGTCCGGCCCCGCCTCCCACGCCGAGGAGCCGGGCGCTGGGCAGCCCTGCGCCGCGGGGACCCCCGGGCCCCCCTCTCCTCTCGGCCGGGGGTGGCTTCCCCGCCGCGGCGGCTCCGCTCCGCCTCTTCCCCCCCCACCCCGCCCTCGCCGCCTCCTGCCGCGGCGGTGGGATCCTCTGGCGGCGGCAGCGGGAAGAGCGGCGGCCAGGGACGGGACGGGACGGGACGGGACGGGACGAGAACAGGGTTGTGTGGGTGTCCCCGCCTCCAGGCAGCGGCAGGGCGCTCGGTTACCTCTGTTGGGTGACCGTGCGCCGATACCGGTGCCCTGTGTGGTCCCCAAGTCACCCAGCCCTCTAGGAAAAGGCGCACGGTGCCGGGCTGAGCATCCCCCTCGTCCCTCGCAGCGTGACAGCAGCCCCGAGGCTCCAGAGGAGCCTTACGGTTCAATAATTGCTGCCGCCACCTCAGGTTGCAAGGGGAAAAAAAAAAAAAAAAAGAAAAAGTG